CGGCTAAGCTCCACTTCTCGCCTACCTGAGTCAGTTGCAGCCATCCCAAACTCTCAAAAAAGATGGAGTAGAGAAACCCAAGGAGGACAGAGGCATAGAGACGAACGTGGAGGACGCTATATAGCAACAGAAGAACCTCAATGCAAAGGGAGAAGGTGCCTACAGGAGAAAGACAGGGACACCAGTTGCTATCTCCCACAAATTTTTCATATGACATGTTGTATGTGGGCCCTATTCCACTGAATTCTTCCACATCAAGTGTAGGTGCTGGAGACTCAGGGTCCTTGAAGCCAGATGTCTGAATCTGGGGGGCCAGGGTCAGTATGAAGGTTACAAGGATGAGGAGCAGAGATGCTTGGTTGTAGCAGCGAGAGTACAGTTTGGTAAACGTTAAGAGGAAGAGGAGGAAGCAGAAAAGGAGGAAGGAAGCAGTGGGGACGAGAAAAGCAACCCTATCACAGCGGGAAGGGTTGGCAGCAAAGTAAACTCCCCAGAGTAAAGCAGCTGCTAGGAGGTAAAAAAGCACAAAACGGAAGCGTCTCTGGGTCTGAGGGAAACACCGTTCTCTACAGGCCTCCTCCAGGATAGAAGAGTCAAACTTTGGGTCCCAGAAATGGCCGGCAGATCTCTCAAAAAGCTGTGGCATCTTTTTGTGAGAACGAAAACTCTTGACCACCGGCCTCCTCAATCCGGACTCCCCAGAGCTACAGCTAGAGGAAATGCTGTACTTGCAGTGCTTGGCTCCACCAATGAAGCCTCCCCCGATTGAACCCAGCGGCCCGCCTCCATGCTTGTGTTTGACACTACTGCCAATTCTCACCGAGACGCCTCCATCTCCACTTGAGTCACAGCTCACTTCTGTGTTGTGAGGCAACAGTTGCTGATGCTGGGGGGATGCCATGTTTTCTTCTAATCTATCAAAAAGAAAAAAATTACAAAAAACCCAAAAACTAGGCAGAAGGCACAGTTATTTCTCGGGAAACACAAATGAAGTAAGGCAAAAAGTTGCGGCCACACAGTATGATTGTTCAATCTTTAGAATTTTTTTTTTTTAAAAAGGAAGGGTTGGGGAAAAAGTTTGAGAGAAAAATCACACTCTGTGCTCTGGCTGCAGAAACACCAGCAGACCATCCAAAGTTTCTGAGTAGTTCATTTCTGCCATTCTTGACATCAATCCCTGCATTCCTCTACATTCCCGATGTTTTGACTCAAGCACTTGAAACTGCAAGGTTCACCCAGTGCCTCCTCTGCCGAGGCAGCCAGCTCTTTGCTTCATTCATTGGAAACTATTTGGCCAAACGGACAGAATTACACAATACTGTGAGTACAGGGAAATGCTGAAAAATACACACATACACACACAAATAGGACTGAGAGGATAAGTTATTTTAAGGTGCTCTCAAAATGTGTCTAAAAAACCCAGATTAAATTCTGTCAAGTTGTTTTGTACTCTGTGTTTGCTCAGCCCGCTTTCATTGCTGGTGCGTGTCCAATTCCGCTTATCCACTCAGTTACCCACGCTTGTACTTCCATACACGTCGATGTCAAGTGAACTAAACCATGTGAAGTTTACATGACTGAGCAAAACTTCATCCAGGGCCAGTCGGACGCAGTGGTTCGAGCTTTTGTCGTTTGCTGTGTCGATCCAAAAGGTCAGCGGTTAAAATTAAGGCGTAGGTTAACACCGGATACAGGGATCATGCCACTTGAGTTTTTATTTTTATACCCCCACGCTCCTTGCCGCAGGGCCTAATCGCCAACACACTCATGGACGGCGCCCCGTCCTCGCCTGGCTTTCCACTCCAGAGTCTCCACAGTCACTGCGTCTCCGAACTCGGCAGATATTTTGTGCACGGAGTTCTGCAGGAGCGAGATGCGATGCGAATGAACTATTCGGCGTTACTGCAAGAGCTCAGACGGCAATGACCACTCCACAGATTCGCGCGCCTCTCAAGGCTATAGCCCAGCCAGTCTTAAATCAGTGTTTTGTTAGCGCTGCTTTGGTATTCACATCCAAACTGTGGCCAATTCATCGTCAGTGCGCCCCAAGAAGGAAAATATCCAGATTGTCTTAATATCCTGACCATTCCCGGCTGTGTGGTGTCTCAGACGGAAATCTGCGAAGACAAACAGACCCCTGGAGCAGGCAGCGTGAAGTCCAGTCCTTCCTGGTATATGAAGTAAAGTTTGCCCACGACAGCTTGGTCCCCCCTGTAATCGCCAGACGACGAAAGCCCCGGAGAAAGTAGGGCTAATTAAAAGGTCTCCACCTCCTCCCCACTCCCCCCAGTAGCACAGTCCCACAGGCTAAAGCACAGCGCTGCCTTCATACGGCCACTTTGATTAATTGGGCAGGATACAAAGAATATCGTCATACCTCCAGGTGATTCAAGATTCAAATGACAGGCTAGATTAGGGCTGCTGCTGCACCGTCCTGCCTTTCCATCCCTTGTGCCGTCCACAGTGAGAGATAGAATTGTCCTATTACCGGGTTATCTGATCACAATTTGTGTGCCGCACCGGCGTCTACACGTGCGCAAAAACGCTGTGCGCGCAATCCAGGCGCAGCGGGCAACACGGTGGCAGCAGCAGCCGCCACCATCTTCTGTCTCTGTGCGCTTCCAGCCGTCCAGCCGAGAGAAGTGTGTGTTTGTATGTGTGTGTGTGTGTGTGTGTGTGTGTGTAAGAGGGAGAAAGAAAGAAAGTGACGCCAGAATAAATACCATATCACGTCCCCTCTCTCCTTTCAAAATAAAAACCCAAATGTGCCTTTTATAGTTGTTTAAAAAAAGGCACAGAGTCATAATAATCCATGTATTAGCATGTATTACATGGTCAATATAACACATACTTTCTACAACAACCTTTTTATAGGGTCACCTTAAAATACTCTGTTAGCATGAAACTACAAAAGAAAGCTTCAGCAAACAAATTTGTGGTTTTTAAGTAAACCCATAATCATTCAGACCCTTTATTTTCTTTCGGGATTTTGTTGTTGTTGTTGTTTGATTTATTTTGTGTGTTTAAATAAAATTAAAAAAATTTTTTTTAGCTTCAACAAAAAAAAGAAAGAAAGAAAGAAAGAAAGAAAGAAAGAAAGAAAGAAAGAAAGAAAGAAAGAAAGAAAGAAAGAAAAGAAAAGTAAATGCTATCCATAAGTCAAAATCTCAGGTTATTATTGTAGAATTTAGAGTTTATAAAACAAATTCTTAAGTTATTTTCTCATAAGTTTGATCTAGTAAGTTGAAAACTTAAGATAATACTGCAAAACGCAAATTTCTACCTATAAGTGGCATCTTTCAAATTTATGTTTTATGTTCAAGGTTCAAGGTTCTTTATTTGTCACATGCATAGTTATACAAGTATAACACACAGTGAAATGTAGCCTGACACGCTCCTCGACATGTGCAAAAAAATTGGGGGGGGGGGGTAGAGGAAAAACAATATATATATATATATATATATATTGGGGCGATTGTGGCTCAAGAGTTGGGAGTTCGCCTTGTAATCGGAAGGTTGCCGGTTCGAGCCCCGGCTTGGACAGTCTCGGTCGTTATATATATATATATATACATTGGGTGAATGTGCAGTAGTAGCAGTAGCAGCATGTTAAACTTGTTTTAATGTATCTATTTCTTCTTCTTGTTCCTATTATTAGTATTTATTTATTATTTATTTTTGGCGGAAACGAGCTTCCATACATAAGAGACTGTTTCCTTAGAGGCTCTTGTCAACCAATTTGGAGCTTCACTCTACACACGCTAAAAGAATCTACTTTTAACGATCTTCTATTTTGAAAATCCCTCTCTCTTCTTCCGTTTTGATGGTCACCATCGACTTGACGCTGCGAGCAGAGTAGACGAAAAGAGGGGTTGAGTGAGGGGAGGGCTACAGTGCAGGAACGTGTACGCACTTGATAAAAAGCAATAGAGTGAAATGTAGCGAGCACGCATTTTAGGGAAGGGGTGGGGATGTATGTTTTTAATGGCACTCAGCGAAACTCCATATGTTCAGTTCGTGAACAAAGCCCCCTACCCTCCTCTCTTTTCTGCTGCTCTATACCATTAAAAATAATAGAATAAACACTTTATCATTTAAGGACACTACATTTAGTCTAATATGAGAGTAGAAGAAGTCTTAATTAGAAGACACCTGGATATATACAGAGTATCTTCAAATAAACAGCAGAATAGGAGCACTGATATCTAATTCTGAATACTTCATTTAAGGCAGACTATGAGAAATGAAGGCTACAGAGTGTGCAGCCAAACTGAATGAAGAACCTGCAGGTTTAATGTTCTATTATTTATTTATTCAGCAGCCTGACAGAAATATTAAGCAGCTGGCCTCTGTAGTCAGCAAGGAGCTTCGCTGTATTTTGAAAGCACCCCCAGAGGGAACCGCGCTACCTTCTTGCATTCCACCTTCGTGCATGGGAACAAACAAAACTCTGTCTTTAATTGGGAGAATAAGAACATTTACTGTGATTTTAAAGTGGTGAGCTGGAATTCTCTTGATTTATTCATAAACCACTGTATCAGTTTTAATCTTCTGAGAATATTTCAACGCTCGCAGAAGAGTTGGAGTTCACTCACAGAGAAGCTCACGTGGGTTCATATGACTGTATAAAGGGGGATTTTGGTGCATGTGTCAAAACTTGAGGCAATTTACATCACACACACACATCCACAGACACACTCACATACATGCCCCCCCCCCCCCCCCCCCCCCCCTCACTCCCACAGTCACGACAAACTGTTGGTGCATTGCAGCTGTGGAACACAAAAAGCATGCTTTCAAAAAGTGGGAGATCAGACCTGTTCAGATGTTGGTGTAAGAGAGACAAAAGGAACAGAGCGAGACGTTATACAGACAAATGTATGGAGACAAGATGGAGAAACAGGAAATGTGCAAGTCCAAGATGTAATCTCAGCAAATTTTCTTGTTTGAGTCCAAAGATTGATCATTTTATTTGAATAACCACAAAGTTTCACTGCTTGGTCCATCAGAAATCTTTATTCTTGATGGTCAAGCTTGCAAAAATTAGGCCAAGATTAACTTAATTTTTTTTTTTAAAAAGGAAAAAAAAGTGAATCAACAACTACTTTAATGGGATGCACATCCATTCAATATCTAATTCACAGGTAAATGAAGATAAATTACACTCAAGTACACAAAAAAATAAATAAAATGCAAGCACCTAATGTTACGAAGCCTGAGCGATCAATCCCACTATAAACTTTTGCCAGTGGTCTGCATTTTCTTTCCTCTTTTTACACAGCTCTCTCTAGTGGCCATGTTCTGAATCTGCAGTGTAAACATACTAAACACCCTGTGCAGCACTTACACTCAAACTGAAAAGTTAATCAAAGTTGAGCTTATTTGGAGGTTATGTTTGCTATATTCTTTTGAATCATGCTTCAGAGTTTAGTTGGGAAAAGCAGCAGGGGTGTTAGTGAGGCAGGACACGTGGAGGAAACAGGAAGTGCGCTTGGCCATGAGTCAACTTTAGTTTTTTGTTGGGTTAGCTTAGAACCACCTACCTGTTCTTTACGATTTAGGGCTTTGTGTATGAAGCACTCTTGTAAAAAATTTGGAAAAATATACTGAATCAGCTCAGCACCCACACTGGAAGCAACGAGCCTGGCTCTGTCAGAAGCTGCTAACCCTAACACATTTGATCTTTTGTCTTTTACAACTTATAAAGCCAAAGAAAAAGAAATAACATGCTAAGGTGTGCAGAGACTCCACAAAGCTGAAGCCAACAAGCAAAATATCCATTGTTCAATGCCCAGACTGTCCAAGTGTGTTTAGGACATCTATTGAGGCACGGTACACAGGAACTTGCGGTAAAAGCTACCTTCTGCTTTCCTTCTCTCCATAGAGGTCAGGGGTCAACTCATGAGTCCTCCTTTACCTCCATCTCACATTTTTTTATTTTCTTTTTTTTGCAAGCTGGGAAATCTGCAAAGATCGACCACACTTTGGCAGCACTTTTCAAAATTTTGCAGCAGAGGTGTGTGCGTGTGTGTGTGTAAATATCTCTCTCTCTAATATATATATATATATATTAGAGCCTCATTCATATGTTATTTTTTTATGATCACTTAAAAGAAAGGGCTGAGAAGCTTATCACTGAGGGGAAAATAAACGCTAACACAGCATTTAAATTCTGCTGAAAGCAAATTTATAGACTCAAAAAAAAACAAAACAAAACAAAGAAAGAGTAACAACAGTTACAAGCAGAGTAAACACACCCACTCTGCACTGAAGACTCTGACCTTTGATCCCTGACCCCTGCTATTCTCAGAGGTTGTCAACAACCAAGACTGGCGAGCATACAAAATTACGAGGAAAAATAACCAAAACAAAAAAACAGCCACATGTGTTGCAGGTGTCAGTAACACAAGGGACTATTGCTTGTGTCAGAGAGAAAATGCATGCACCTTTTGTGATGTCGAACATGCAGTGTTAATCTAATTCAAAAGCAAAGGTTTGGATGTCTAGCTCTGTGTGGCACCCACACAAGGGGCTACTTCAAAAACAGCTTCCTGAAGCGTGTGGAATTCACCTGCTGCAATGCAATTCTCACAAGTTGTCCAACACACATTTCTGTTTCCACTTTTTTCCTTTATTCACATACAAGGGAGCTGGTATTTGACTTTTTTTGTTCAGGATTTAAACTTTTTATTCCTTCTCATTTAATCTTTCCCATTTCCTCTTTTATTCACATCATTGATTTCCCAATCCCAAAGTCCCAGACAGTCCAGAGTGGTTGTGCAAGGGAGAGAGGCATGTTCTCATTTCTTCAGCACTTGTATCCTTAAGCTGCCTTTATCGATGACCCCTCCCGCTATCTCTTTCAATCCTACGGACATTAAATGCACCTCCCCTTAAACTCCTGAGAAAAAAAAAAGGAAAGAAAAAAGCATCTTCTCGCCTCTGTCTCCATTAGTGATACAAGCGTTCTGACAAAAAGCAGGGTTGGCATCGACCAGACCCTTTCTCTTCACCTTCACCTTCTCCTTTCTACCTTTAGAGTATTTTGTGTTCCTCAGTTCTTTCGGTAACGATTCTTTGGCTTCTCACCACAGCCGGTGGCCTCGCAGGAGGACAGGCCAGGCTGCTTGCCAGAGTTAATGCTGCTCAGAAGGGCAGGCAACTCAGTGGTGATTGCCTTCTCAATCTTATCAAGCAGACAGCCTCCGATGTAGGAGCACTGAGCTGACAGAGGCTTGAAGTTGGTGATAGGGTTGATGCCAAAGAAGTCACGGTAAGCGTCGCGGTTGGGCAGGTCAAATTTGCTGACGTTGGTCTTGGCTAGGATGGATTTGAAAATGTAAAACTTGTCTGGGTCATCTACAATTTCCTGGAAGACTAACTCGGGATCACTGAAGAAGCTCATCTTCTCTTTAAAGGTCTGGACGTAGCGGTCTACCAGCAAGCCGTGGATGCGTACACGGATACCGTGCTGGCGGATGAAGGCAATCTTATTCTCCATGCGGTTTTCGATCACCTGATTGAGATCCTCCAGAAGAGAGATCTCCTCTCGCTTGAAGAGCTCCCGGCTGGTGTCAGGTGCATAGTCATATGGCCAGAAGGAACTGACATAGACACGGGGAGGCTCAGTGACATTGATGAGGGGAGCTAAGCTCCAGAAGAGCGCTCCGTAAACTCTCATTAAGTCCTGGGTGGCCAGGTTGTCAGCCTTGTTCAGGATGATGCGAATCTGTGACTCACGACCCTTCAACTGCCTGAAGAGCATCTCTAGCTCCAGACCAACATCCAGCTTGGTGGGGTCAAACACGACAAAGATCAGGTCAGCACGGTCAATGAACCACTGACAGACATCATTGAAAGGATAGCCTAAATGGGAGAAAAGCACAGGTCATAAAGAGCTATACGCAGTTGATTTGTGGTATCTGAAAATCAAAACCTGAGAGCGAGCTTCTTGAGTTTACCTCTTTCCTGCTGTTTCCGGTTCTCAATAATTCCCGGTGTATCTACGAACGTCACACGCTCCAAAAGCTTGTGGGGCATCTCAATACCAATCAGCTTTTCAAGAAAGTTTTGACCAAACTTCTCCAGGGGAGAGAAGGAGCGCGAGCTGTCAGCCGCCATAACGATACCCTCAACAGAGCGGATCTTTTCCCCGTGCATAATAACTGTAAATTCAGAGGTAGTAGGCTCAGCTCCTGCAGAAGGACATCACAGAGGAAGAGAGGAAGAGATTAGCATTGTGGAGGAGAAGCAGATGGGAAAACACACTGAACCTCAGTAAGATGTAAAGCACCCAGTTCTCCAGTCAACTCCCCATCTGATGTAGATTTAGCAACAACTGCACTTTTCACCTTGCCTTTTTTCCCCCCATCAGCGCTGGATTTCAGAACTTAACGTTATTTACTGCTAATTTACAAAATAAAAAATAACATCTTTATGGTACCTGTGTAGAGCTGATAGGGGTGGTCATGCAAGCCCAGGAGGTAATTGATCATGGAGGACTTTCCTACACTCCACGGTCCCAGGAATAGCACCATGGGCTTGGAGGTAATCTCTCCATCTGTTTAGGGCAAGAAGAAACAACACTGATTAAATTATCAGCAGTGTGGTGAAATCATCATCTAGCCAGTCATCTAATCAACCATCTATCCGAAAGGTCTCCCTGCATATCTGTTTATTTATTTTTTTCACTGAAGAGCACATCTGAACAGCACTGCCAATCCAGAGCACAGGGCACATTTTACAAGACTTAAGAAGGAAGGACAGAAACATGTTGTAAAGCTGTTAGGGTGTTTAATAGCATAAAGGAAATTCATTAAAATGCAGCAGCCATAATCTCATGACACACGATAAAGTTTTATACTCTGACAAAGAGACTCGACGGGTCTAGCACAAGCTGTGTGTCTCGTAGCTGTTGTGAGTGGACATGGTGTTTGGGTGGCTGGGTGCAATGTACTACAATGCAACTGACTGATGGAAAAATAGCATTAAAAAAGGGAAAGGAGAAAGAATAAACAAAAAAGCAGACATTAAGCATCACTCCTGGTGCTACTGGAATTTAAAATGATAAAAAATAATAATATTAAAAAATAAAGTGAAAAAGTAAACCAGTTCACTCCTAGCTGAACACTGACCACCCTCTCCCACCAGTGTCCCCTCCTCAAACCTCTGTATCCTTTGTTAAAACCAAAGCTGCACATGCAACCCCATTTATATAAATATATATATATTGTTTTTACAAAGTAATGGTAAGTCATTTTTAAAAAAGTTTAAATAATGTGCAATTTAAACATTATCACACTTAAAGTATGTTAAGAGTGTTTTTACTTCTCTTTTTATTCACTCTCCGTAAAATGAAGCTTTCACCCATGGATCACTTTTGACTACACCTCAGTCATATCGAGTGTCGTCCAAAGTGAAACGTGCTTGAAATTTTGCAACCCACTCAGGGCAAATGTATGAAGACAAATAAGGGGTTGAAAAGAAAGGGCCGAGCACTGCAGGCACTGCCATGCACAGGTAAGCTCTGGCCACACCCACCTGTGGCTGAGTCCCCCAGGGTTCTTCCCGGGTAGGCTGTTAGATGAGGGGTGGAAGAGGGAGTGGAGGGGATGGGGATGAGTGGAAGACAGGAGAGGGTGGAGTATAGAGAAGTGAAGGGAAACAGGAGGTGGAGGAAAGCTCAGTGAGGGAGTGATGTTTCTACAAGCAACATGGAGGGATAAAGTAAAAATGTACATAAACAGGTGGGAGATCCAGGCTGGAGTCTAATCCCATATTTGACCTGCGAAGTGTCAAACATGTCTGTAAACAGATGGAGGACATGCCCGTGTAGTCAGGTGATGGGGGGGGGGGGATTTACTCCCATCTTTAAAACGCACATATGCATTGAAAATAGAAGTTGATTTTTTTTTTTTTTGCATGCAGGCCTGAAAAGCCACAAGAGGGCGATAACTTTATTTCATTGTAGGAAAGTGGGGTTTTCTGGGCAGTTCAGTGTACAGCTTGGAGTGTTGAGTCCACTGTAAAGAAACAGGGAACAGTGCAATGTTTAACAGAAGGGGTAAAAAAAGACACTACCCTTCTTACTTTTATAATCCCACCCTTAAACCTGATATAAAGAGAGGCTACAGGTAATTTCCAAAGGAGAACATATTGCTGTTAATGCATCAGTTGGAGGTGTAAAGATGCTGTGTTTTTGCAAACAAGTCAACAAATCAGTTACTAAAGCAACTCAAACAGAAAACTCCACACCAACAGGAGAAAGTGAAGCAAAGTGAAGCTGCAGCCGGTGAGCTCGGTGATACCTGAGATCTCGTGCTGCCTCAGTTCGTTGTACTTGTAGGCCTGCTCCATCGGCTTGATGGACGTATGGTAGATCTTCCGCAACCTCTCCAGAGCCGCTGAAGAAAAAGGAGACCAGAGATGATCAAAAGGATGTTAGTAAGGTAAATAAGGTAAACAGTGTTTTCTTTGGATACACTGTTTGTTTTAAATAGCATAAAAATCCTATTGACTTGTCATATTTAGTTTGCTCCCCCAAAAGTGTTAAAGGGAAATCAGGTGGAAAAAAATTAAGAAAATTAAAGCAGTCAGATTTGTAACATGCCTCTTTCACCTTCAATCCTCACCTGCATAGTCTCCTGCTTTTTCCTCCATTGCAAGCCGCAGCGTCTCATCGATGTGAGATCTGTCTCTAAGGACGGAGGTAACATCTTCTTCTTCTTCTGCAGAAACATCACAAACATCAACAGCAAATTCAGTTTGTTTCAAGACCTCAGCGTATGCCTTAAATGGCCAGCTTGATATTTTAAGAAAATAAACATGGGAGGTCTGATTTGTTCAACGGCAGTTTAATAAAGAAGCAGACACTGGGTTTGTTGACAGGTGCCATGCCATGTTTATTAAAGCTTTGCTATTACATGACGGTCTGTCTGGCCAAAGATCAGTGAAAAGAAAGACTTGACTGATTTTGTAGTGGATGCAAATAAATAAAATGTTTTAATGTGAGCCTTGTATAAAGGCATTATATGGAAGAAAACAAAAAATAAATAAAATCAGCAATTCAATGATTTTTGCTGTATTTTCAGATTTTAACAAGTCAAGTTAGGAAATTAAAGCACCTAAACTCCCCCCGCACAATCCACCAACTAAACACTTTCGATTTGTAGTTATTAGTATCTAAATATTCCCTTTTTAGATTACATTTTTTTGCATGACTATTCATTGAGGGCAAATATTTTTTTGATGTAGTAGAAGCTCTCAACTGACACACCAACTGTTGGTTAAGTGAACTAAATAGTAGCCAATCTAAGGTATTGACATTCTAACCAACCCCCCTTTAAATGGAATATAGTTGCTAAGTTAGCATTTACATTCAGATGTAGGTCCTGCATGTCAATATACACATTTTAACTGAGCTATAAGCTTGTTTCATGTCCGTGTATGAGCGTGTGTGTAAGAGAGAAAGAATGACCAAGAGAAAATATTTGCTCACCAGTCATGTCCACTTTTGAACATGTCGGATTACTTAGATCACAGCTCTTAGTACAATCAGGTCTTAATTTAGAAAGCAAATGCTGAAAATAAACAAAGACATGTGTTTGGCATCAGCGCGGGCTATATAACAACAGCAAAGATAAGGCAGACTGACAGAGAGAGGGACTTCCCCGGTTTCGTAACAGACGAGGAGGAGAACTCAAAGCCGGACTGAGTGTTCCCAACAATAATATACATGAGACAATGGTGTGCAATCCTCTGTCTTTTCTCATCTATATTTATCCACCAATCACAGGCTCATCAGGCTGTGAGGCCTGTCCTTGTGTGCCCAGGCCTCAGTACAGACCCCTTCCACAACGCCTCCCACACGCCAACCTGCCACAAGATATATATAGCAGCAATTGGGAAGTCTTCCTGGTTCACACTTCCATGCCCTGGGAGCTTATGGGTCTGAGCATCCAAGCTACCAGACACCCCCTTAACAGAACTGTTAAAGAATTTTAAAGGTATTTAAGAGTGTGGAAGATTGACTCTGATATAGGAGCACCTGTTGAATTATTAACTGCAGTCATTTAGTTGTAAATAAGACTGTGGAAAGCACAGAATATTGATCTTGTTCTTAAACCAATTACATGCATACCTTCTGCCAGCAAATTCAGTTTACTGGCGCTGATAAGTTCAAAATGTTTTAAGCAGCACAGAGAAAAATGAATATAAGCTCATATAATCGCCTGCACTTTACCTGACTTTCTCAGTAAAAATACACAATTTTATTGCAGTTATATAAAACTAACACCACTTGCACAGAGGATCAGAAAAAGAATGAAAAGTTGGTTCAGTCGCTGGCGGCACAACCCTCTGATCTCAGCTGGTGTCTGTGAAGAAATAATCGTATCCTGGCATTTATGTAATGCTCCTGAAAAAGTGACTGGGGGTAGAGCAGAGGTGCTCAAATGGGAAGGTAAAAAAACTTCCAGACTAGAACTGCAGACACATCATTTCATGTACAGTGTTGAATAATGTAAGATCCTCTCAGTCCGTCTGTTATTGTGAAATAAGTGGCGTTTCTCACAGATACTGACACACTTTTTGAGAAAGTTGATTGGCTGTAAGTTGTGGGTGGAGTGAGTAAAAATCAGAAGGTGACTTAAATATTCTTTGAAAAACTCAACTATAGTTCCTCCAACTCTCTGGTGTCACCATAGACCATATTCATCAGCAATGTTCTCTCAAACAGAAAGCTTTCTTTCAGAAATAATATTTAAAAATGCCTCCTTTTTAAAATGTCAAAACCAAAACTGCAGAGCAAAGTCACATATCAGATGTTCTTTTAAACATCTGATAAACATCACCCCCTCAGAGGGCAGTGCTGCTGCAGCATCCTGCGCCACAGCCTCGAGTAAAGCCACCGGCCATGTGGTGAATGACTTCTAGTGTTTCTGGCCAAGCGTCAGAATGGCACGTCGCTTTGGATGAATCCAACGCTGCATCAAATGACAAGTAAAATCATCCGAAGGCCTGTTTGTTTACAAGCCTCAAGCAAACTTATGTTTATATTTATGAGCCTCGAGGCTTGTAAATCGACTCTTTCACTGAAATGAACTGAGTTCAATATAAATGTTTCTCATTCATGAAAAATGCAGCCCGCATTTTCTGATCACAGAAATCCAATTGGAGCATTTCAGTATGTGCACATACAAAAACAATAAACGACCACAAAAGACCCCCGAAATTACAAATCTCTGGGGCTTTAACTGAAACCCGAAAGGTTTCTCCTTTGCTGCGTGGAGGCAGTGACACAGTGCTGATTCTCACCGAGTCAACCTGCTAAAAATAAGCCTGTGTAATGTTTCTGCCGGCACGACGCAAGAACAAGAGAAACCAAAAGGTTAGTAGCCAGAATAAAAGGAGGGTACGAGCAACACTGCTAACCCATATATTGTATGTGGCTACATAGTATCAGGCAGAAAGCCTTCCTTAATCAGCCCATACAATAAAAAATTACATTCATTTCTTGCGTGTGAACTCCTAATGGCAAGTGTGCCCTGTCTTTATTCTAGTGGATTAACACAATGAAAGCAGAGATGCAGTAATGTGAACTCATGTGACTTCCTATGTTGTGACAACACTTTACCCTTTTGTACAGAGAGTACTGTTTTATTTTATTTACTTTTATATGCTCATTACTTTTATCTTAGTTTAGTTTGGTTATTTTATTTATTTGCATTTCAGGAAAGTAAAGAAAATATTGCTCGGCGTAACCACTGTGTTTTGCATGTATATAATACACTTCTTCATTTTTGATTCTGCCAAGTTTAATAATATATAGTGCACATATGCACTAAACACATAGAGGCGAAAGGAGCACTGTTTCATTGGGTTTGGCAGTTTGGAAAAATGCAAGCATTTAGGGAAGAAGTGTTTATTCGAACACATGTTAAACATGTTAAAGACAAATTACATCAAACCTTCTGCAACTTTTTTTCCACAGCGACTTTATAATAAATCGGATTTAGCTCTGACAACAACTACAGCCTGCGCAAAGCTGCTTTTGTTCATGTGACCTTTAGAACACCACTAAGTGATGTCATCTGTTTGTGATCCATGACCGCTTGGTTGCATTTGAATCTGAGCCACATTGCTCCGGTTATCTGAGCAGGTTACAAGTTTTGAATAGAATGTGATCATATTGCAAAATAGAGGGGATGTGCCCTCTGATGAAACCCACCAGAGGGCAGAGAGGGTGATTCCACTTGAGGACTAAAGTGGCTGTCGATGACCAGATCCCATCTCTTCCACACGCCATCACTGCAGTACTACAGGGATTGCTAAAGCCTCTGTAACTTGACTCATCACTCAGAGAAGTCACGTCTTTTAACGCTAGCTCCTCGAGAGGGCCTTAGCGGCTGTGAACTTGTTAACACCTTCCAATCCAGTCGATCCCTAATTAGGACAGAGCTCCGCAAAGATCAGAGAGGTAATGTTGCCCGTGGACAGTGGGCCTTGCATCAGTGCTCAAAATTAACCCTGAAGGTGGCAGGGGAGCTGAACCCTGTCCTCGCTGAGCTCGTTGCCACACAACCGCACCACAGTTTGGAGAAACATTCTGGTGGCGTCGGTACATCCCGCTGAACATCTAAGCCGTCCACTGCGGCAATTATAGGCAGATCTCTTATGACCTACCAGCCATTGGAAACCAGCCTGAAATATGCTTCGCTTTCCTATTTAATTACATTAACCCACAAGGTTAATTTCTTTTGACTAAAGAAGATAAATTTAATCCATCTTTAATCTATGCTCTGATTATCCTGATATATGTTGTGGTCTTTTCCAAACACTCAATAAATATTTATGCCCAAAATGCTGATTTTAAGTAATTTGATTACATGTAAATGTTCCATGTAATTTTCTTCCATAAGTACAGTGTAAAATATTCAATTTAATGGAATCTGAACAGATAAAATGTAACTGCTATGCTTTCAATGTATATCAAGCATATTTTCCTTCATGACTGATTATCTGAATAAATAAACCTTTAATACATCAGTCCGTATTTCACTCAAAATTATAGCTTCATGTTTATTGAGGGCAAAGAATCACTTTGTTGAGATTGTGTGCGTGCTGATATGTGCCTGTATATAATGACCATCTGTATAACTGTGGAACCCCCGGGATCATATTATGCTTACAGCACAGTCGAAGTAAATTGAATTAAAGTGAACATGATGAGGGTAGCAGCCCTGGAAACCCCAGTTAAAGGATTTATCCTGCACAAGCAGCCCTAATCTGAAGGCAGAATGTTTCCACCAGAAAGATCCACCGAGAAGCAATGATTCGAGTCAAATTTAAAGAGAAAGAAAAAATGTTTACATGACCAATGGCTTGTAAAGTGCCTCCGCTCTCATTTAAAATTCATGAATGCAATTAAGCAAAACTACTTTCTCACTAGTGCCCATTTCAGAAAGGCAGGAAACATACTTAAACCAAAGCAGATGAATGTGAAAATAAGCCTGCTGCCAGCCTATAAGGATGCCGGTTTCCTCCTTCGGTGAGGGTCAGAGGTGCGAGAGCACAGCTGTGCAGGGTGTGGTGAGAAGATACCACAGATGGCAACAGGTGGCACTGCTTGCAGCTCGTACTCCCACACAGTCAAAAATAGCCCTACAATGGGTCAGAAGATGGACAGAGGAGGGGTGGCAAAATGACTGCTGCCTATTTTAAGGTTTTGACTGTTAGTCAGTTTGGAGACTTTAGAGATATCCTCACCCTACAAACTGACTGTGTAGTACACAGGCTAGCCAAGTGAAAAGCATGATGCATGTAAATTTAAATGTGCTACAAATGCGTGGCTTTGCTTGTATGCGCTAATTAAATTTCTGAAAATATAACAAGTAATGGAATTGAGTGTTTATCACTTAGCAATTATCACTGTTATTGCTTTTCTTTTTTTTTTCATTAGTTTTACTATGTCATACAATAATGAACAAGCCACCAAACAGTACCGGGGGGGTTGCATCAAGGGTAGGGACAGGCTCAAAGAAAGGTTCGAGGGCAAAGGCGCTTTACGCTGAAGTGTTGATCTGATGCCTCAGTCCCTGCTCGCCTGTTTTAGAGCCAGGAAAGGACGTCAGGTGCCCTTGGGGCTGCGCGGCTCGTCTTAAGGAAGCGTGTGTAATAAAGTCACCGAGTATGACTGGCGTGTCCCTTGCACTACGTCCAGCCTAGGGATGTCCTGCGTGCCATTAGAGGAGAATCACATGGAGACCGTGCTCCTTTAACTTTCAGTGTCTCCCCTCTGCAAAGTGAGGAGGCCAAAGATATTTTTACTGAGTGAGGATGGATAGTATTGCCACCAACTATAAACACAGCAGTGTGAAGAAATAGTCTGAAGGACCAAAACGGCTGAAGAACTGTTAGTGCTTATTTAATGTGGGCAGAAATATTCTACACATAGCACTTTTGTCCTTTTTGCTGACTCTCAAGTTCTGAGCGCTGCCTGTTAGACAAGTAATCTTTCTACATTTGCACCAGCGGCTGTTTTAATTCACTACAATTTTACCAATCTCAAGGTACTTTAGATAGTAAAGTGAAATTTTAAGCCTCTTCACAGTTTACCCAAAAGTTTGCTATAATGTAACAAACACAATTGTAGTCCTTGAATGGTCAATCGTAGCCATTCACACAAAACATTCTCTGCCTACAGAGCCTATGTTTCTCAGTACATGCCAACACTGAGCAGTGTCACATCCACATAAGAAACCTGCAACTTCCAGCAGCTTGTTTATGCCGCCAAAAACATAGCTCGTGAAAAGTTTTAGCTTTTTAATGACTGCATGTTAATGTCAGGTGAGAAAAAAATTACTGTTGGTTTATAAGATGTTCACATTGCTGCACATCAGCCGAGTGATATCTAAGCTTAAAAGATGACTTGCATCATTTGGTGTTCTTGCTTTATATCAAAATGTGGATACTCCAATCAATCAGCTAAGGCGATCAATGCTGGCCATGCAATCAGCCGCTTTAGGCTTTTTCCATAAGATTTGACATGATCAGTTTCTGTGTTAATATGTCAGCCCTGATGCAGCCTTCAGGTGTATTTTTTTTTAAAAAGGATATAAGATTTTCTGGTGGATTAATAAATCTGTATGCTAGGCAGCCTGTGATAAAATGATAGCATATTAACACCACATTGCTTTCGAGGGCGGTTACACCTTCGTGTCCATCCTGTAGAGTTCAGTGGAATTCCTGAGAGTTGACTGAACCAAATAAAAACACCATAATTACACACCGAGACAAAAAGAGTTCATGACTCAGTGTTGCCATACCCTGGGGGTATTTCAACATAAAGTCCTTTTTAGCTCTGCAGCAAAAATCAATACACAGTATGCCTGTGGAAAATATTCACAGACAGGGGGCCACCGTAAGACATCTGCACGAGCCTGCAAAAAAGGGCTCTTCGAAAGCTTGAGCTGCAAGCCACGGCCCGGCCCCTCCAGCCTGGAGAATGCATGTCCCTAAAAGGCCAACTGCTGGGAATAAATTGTGATTGTGACAGTGCAGCAGCTGTGCAGTGTGTCTAAAGGGAAGCATGGAACTGGGAGGGGTGACGATTCAGGAGGGATGGGGAGGGTAGAGGGTCTAGAGGAGGGAGGGAGGAGCTGTAGGGAGGGGGGGGGATTTGGGGTTGGGTTTCAGGAGCCCATCCAATCTTAGACACCTGACAGCAGCTTGGAATATGGAGGCCTGGGTCCCGGCTGTGGAGCTGAACGCCACCCCAAGGACGGACAGGGGTGACAGACAAGGGTAACAATACCCGCGCTAGTCCAGCCCCAGAGACCAGTCCGCATTTTTAGAATGGGTAATCTGGGCGCAGTTATGGGTGATCAGCTCGCTGTGACATTCAGCTCCATGGGTGCCCTTTGATATAGTTAGGATGTATGTTGTTTTGGTGTTATGGTTGTCATTCTTCAGACTGTAGCAGGTGAAACCGAAGAATGAAGCAAACAGACCGAATTAGCGCGTGCAGAAAAAGCTCAGCGTCCATTCAGGCTCCCATGTGGCCGTTCCCGTCTCCTTGGTTAGACTAAGACTTTCCATCAGCTGGTGCCGTGCATTAGGACAGCTGACATGCTGTCAGTCCACAGTGGAGGCCGAACGGCTTTGAATAATCCCGAACTTCAGAAACTCGCCCAAACGTGATTTGTTCATACATGAAAAGTGACGGCTGTTCCAGTATGCCATGAAACATTTGATTTAATAATGAAGAGCATTAGAAAGAGACAGGTAAATCCACAACTCTGTAACACGTGCCAGCTTTTTAACTATAAACTGGGACAGATTTAAATAGCTTAGCCTGGTGGTAAAGAAAGGCTGGGGTAACATTTCTGTCTGTCTATCCTTATCCTTGGGTGGTGCTGTACTCTGCCTCTAAAAGCCAGTGCCATTTGTGGCCAAACCGACCCTACAATAGACACAAAAACCTACAGGACAGCCTGTTTTCAATAATATGACAGGCCATTTCTGGCCATCCTCTGAATCTTTGAGGAACCATTGAAGTATCAAGCTGACAAAGCAGTCAAATATGGTGCTATTTATTAACCATTCATTAACCCTGCTTCTAAACTTATGCCACATCACCATTTCAATCATCAGCGGTACTTGTACACAAACATTTCTCACGCCCACGGTGCACCAGCTCACCTAAAACAGCAAGTTTTACCAAATTGCTTCTGAATCTTACCTGCTGTGGCCTGCAAAAGCAGCAGAGAGAGGAAACAGATCGAGACTGCACCCTTCATGATGGCTGCCAGGAGAACTCTGATAGTCACACAGACTATATATACCAAGGCAGGAAGGTTAAAGTGCACAGAGAGAGAGAAGAGGTGGGATACAGAGATGGCCAGCTGGTGGAGGGGCTGAGATCTGTGTGTGCTCGAGGTGTTACAGGAGTCTATCGTGCCACAGGGACTCTACATGTGCAAGCAGCTGACTCTTTCTTCTTCTTTTTAGCGGGAGGCTGCAGCTCAGGCCTCGTCATAAGTGCACAAGAGTTGGCTCTATCCTCCATAGCAAATTCACTCAACTCCTCACTAACAATATATATCACATAATTAATGCCAGAGACTTGAAATAGCCACATTTTTTATGTGAATAAGATTTTCACAGATATTAAGTAATATAATTCTTCTTTTTTTTAATTATTCTCATAGTGGATAAATGCCAAATGCATTGAAGTAGCTCAAACTGGGACCTATGCATTCCTTTTCTTGGTGAGTACTTGATTAATAGAGCAACAGGAATCTCTTATCTGTTAGTTAGTTAGCATTGCTCAGCACAAAAGCTGCAAACAGGGAAAAAATATAGGTGCTGCTCTGCTATGATCCGACCAAAACACCATAATTACGAGACTAGCACCTCTCCCAGGAAGTTCACTAATTAAGGAACTGCAGTTTGCTTGTCTAAACCAAATAACAAAGCTGTGTCAGCCAAGAGCTGGAGTATTTGCTGCAATTTGAATGAATAGTACAGCTGTGTCTAAAGAGACTGTCTTCCTCTTATTTAACTAAAGCATTATCAAATTTGAAACAAAAGAAAATAATGACTGTAACAGCTTTACTAACCCATCTCCATGAATTTCTAGATTTAGTAGGCTTAAATGTGCTGCACTGAAGCATTGAAGGGAACTGTCAGACTCTTACTCTGGTAAGGAAGACTTACTTGGCTGCCGTATTGGTTAAAGTAATCACCAAAAGAGAGTGTGAGGGGATGAGAGAGCTGCAGAGAGGGTATGTCGGAAGCATGAGGACCCCTGAGTCAGACTTGAATCCCTGGCACAGCTAAAGGCTGGGCGGATTACTGCTTTATCACACTCAGGCAGATGTAGTGTGGCGAACATAATCTCACAATTCCTCAGGAATCAACATCTCCACTGTAAATTAATCCCCAAATATGGCAGAAGTTTCTTACCCAAGCATGCCTTTTCCAAATGACTCGGGAAGCATGTCCAAACATTACAGCGTGTTCATTTTAGAGCGGAAAACAGCATTAATCCAGCTTTTCAATCCCACACACCCCAAGATTCACTATTTGATGAATACTGTGATCCGATTTTTAGGAAAAGACAATTTTTTAAAATTTTAACAGAGTTATGTGATTTTTAAAATGCAAAAGGGCCAAAATGACCCACTTTGGTGGTTCTAGTGTTTTTTAACGGGCTTCATAATGTGAGTGGACTGAGAGATATTTGTGTACGCTGGCTAAAGTTATTGACCAGGGGGCTGTCCTTGGAGTTTTTGATGGAGCATAGAAGAACCCAGATGTCTGCAGATGTCTCTTGACATCTCTCAAGAGGGTTTTTGGTTGCTGCCAGCTGCTGCAGCACTCCTTCATTGTTTCCTTCACTAGCACATTGTCCAGCTTTGCCACTGGCTACTCAAGGGCTTGTGAGTAAAACTACTGCATGTGCTCTTGTTTTGTTTTCCTGATTGCTTTGCAAGCGAAAGGCTGAAAAATTTTCAAACCACTATGCACATATGCAATAGCACAGGACTTTGACTTTAGGGTTGCAGCATATTCTCCAAGACTTTGAGACAAAATATGGGGCACTGCAAGTATTTTATATTTTGAAATATTGAAATTGAGGAAAAGAAGTAAAACTTGGAGAAAGTATGCAAAGTGATGTAGTGTAGTATCCACGAAATGGTGAGCAAAAATGTGCATTTGCAAGGAGTATAAAACAGAGTACAGAAGAGAAAACACTGAAACGGAGGAGGAGAAGCAACGACAGATGGAAACCAAAAGACATGGAAGAAGAAATGAACAAAAACGTGAATGAAGACAAAGAAATTACAGAAAGAGAAATATGAAGAGCAGTAGAAGACGGTGTAAGATACTTGATCAGAATTCAGATATGATCGCTGAGATGAAAAACCTTCAAGCATGGGATAAATTCTGCAGGAACTCTGAAGAGAAAAAGCGCGTTTCAAGTTTTTCCTAAAAGAAGTTAAGCTTGGACAAGTGTAGCCTTCTCCTCCTTCATCTTTTGTCCAACTCTTTAATTTTTACCTCTCCCTCCTCTACCCATGCTCTCGACTCCTCCTTTATTCATTCCTTATGCTTTTATTTCTTCTCACCCTAAATAAGTCATTTAAGTAACAGTTTGAAGACATTTTCTAGCTTGCAGTTGACGGTTAAATCAGAATGAGTAGAAATGCAGGTTGGCAAAGATGATGATAGGTGGCGCGGATGTTTTCCATTCTAACTGCTCTAAAACCACAAAAAACACAACTTGTCTCTAAAACCCTCGAACTGCCGTGCAGGTGTCACCTGAAAAGCAGTAAAGAAAACCCTGCCTGCATCTGAAAGGTGATCTGTTTGGACAGTTTTGTGCACATTCCACATCTCAATGTCTGAAATAACAGTATGCAAGAAATCTTAAATATGCGCTTCTTGTTCTTTTTACTGGGCTTTGACCCCGTAACCCCCCAAAGTATCCAGATAGCTTTATAACACCATGATACATGTGTGCTGGCTTTTCAGAACATTTTTAGCCCTTAAGCAGTTTTAATTTTCAGTTTTATACTCCATTAGAAAAACTGTGGAAGGTGTGTTTTGTTGTGTTAACTAATTCACAATCATAAAAATTGCATCTTTAGTCGTGATTAAAAAGTATGCAGATTGAGCACGTCGCTCTCCCTTACATAAAGTGTCTGTATTAGTGAAAAGTACCGGTACTTAGTATCGCAGATACTGACGCTGTATTTGCTTGGTAACAGATTGCACTAATTTCTCACACCAAAGCATTTATTACCTAAGCTCATTTATAAAGCTTCTCCCTTTGGACTTTTTGGTGATTAAAGGAGGCTGATGGGAGAAGCTGGGGTCCAGAAAATAGGAGCCCTGATTCCCAGGGAGAACAACGTCACATCATCCACAGATTGTGAGGCACACAGCACCTGGTCCATGGTGGTGTTGATTCGAGTGATGGGTGGAGGCCCAGTGTTTGCCGGTGAACCACCTCTGTCAACTCTTGCCTCTCTCTCGGAGGGCATCCCTGCACAAGTTCGTGCTGGAAACCCTCCTCTTCCTCCTGTTTTACTTTTGGCTTGGCCGAAACCAGCTTGTCAAAGCAATCTGGGAGGATGATGATGCCATCAGAGGAGTCTGAGGAAGTCTAGCTGGTGACCTGAGGCACAGGAGGAGAGTATGAGGACATTTACAGACTTTATAATATGAGAAATTATACAGCAACTTTCATATCTAAACAATAAGTGAGAAAGAGTCACCTAATCCAAGTCTTCTGTTTCTTAATATGGGTGTCAGTTAGGCTCAGTGGGTGAGCAGGGGACCACAGAAAACAGCAAAATTTATGCCCGTCACATTTTCCACAGCAGGTGGGGCTGAATTGGAGACTTTGCCGGACTGATTCTGGCCCCCAGGCCTTATGTTTGACACCCCTGATCTAGGGTGTACCCATGCTCTCAACGTGTCAATGACATTTGAAATAAATACCACATTCAACTTTTGTTGTAGACGTTCCTGATTTTGGTTATTAACTAAATGACTGAGAACATCCTGATATGACACGAACAGCTGACCCCAGACACCAAAACCAGCAGTATCTCTACAAGATGTGCGAGCGTGTGAACAAGAGGCAAGAGACAGGATGACAACGGGAGATGCAGTCTACCGTCCCTGGTGTAAATTTTAACTGTTACAGAGAAGGTGGTCAGTCTTAATTTAGCCATGAGCAACTGAGCAGGGGAGGGAGGGAGGCTTGAACAGCCCATCCACCAATCAGGAACAGACACTTGTGCATCAACTCGACTGCTTGAGTAACAGCCAAACAGAACTGGAAATGAATCAAATTCAGCTGGTTATGTCACTATTTGTGTTAGAATAACTGTTACCAGAGAAACAGAAAAGACACACAGAAAGCCCAGTGTTTACAAAACAAAGTACAAACTTTATTATTCTGTCTTTACAAAGGCACGAGCCTCTTTATCCCCAAAACGTTTCTCTTTAAAAAAAAAAAAAAAAAAAAAAATAGCTTCTTGATGACCATATCCATTGATGGGTCTAACAAAAAAAATAAAAAATAAAAAAAATGGGTAGAGGAAGGAGAACAAGCGGAAAAATGAGAAGAGAGCTCAGACTTGTCAACAGATAAACAAAGACAGCATAAAAACTGCAAAAGAATGTGACAGGACAAGATGTAGGAGGACTGGACATGGAGGGAAAGGGGGGATACACAGCTGTGCGGTTTTTACTCAACTTCAAGAGCTTCAAATGAGGAGATGCTCCTTCATATAAAAAAAACAAACAAACAAAAAACAAGAAAGAAGCAAACTCCTATATAGTACAGTAAGTGCTTTGTAATCTTGACCCTATTTAGTGGAACCCCCTCAAAGCCAACCCCACTTCTCCGACCACCTGATATGTCCGCGTATGCTTCCTAACACTCGACCCAGAGCGTAAAACGTAGATGGAAATAAACAATGTCTGGGATTTAGGGGAAAGTGATCAAATGCAAACAGACGGCAAAAAATAAGGAAAGCAAGCTCCACAAACAGAAGAGCATGCAAACTTTTTCCATATCCAGGAATCCCCTTTCCTATCAAGAGAAGCACTCGCAAACAACCCATCATTTAATTCTGCTTATTGCAGTGCAGCTGACATCAATAGTTTTTTCTTTAAAGGGCAATTCCGCGATTTATCTGTGCAGCGGTTCGAAGCTCCATCTATGCACTGACGCAAGGGGTGAGGAGGGATGCGTCAAAGATGCAACTAATCTTCTGAAAAATGAACTGTTAAAGGACATTTATGGAATGCTGACGTCTCTTTGTGG